GAGTATTTGTTCCAGATCAGTGAAATATGCCATTGGTATTTTAATAGGGAATGCATTGAATCTATAGATTGCTTTGGGTAGTATGAGCATTTTAATGATGTTAAGTCTTCTAATCCATGAACACGGTATATGCTTCCATTTATTTGTATCTTCCTAAATTTCTTTTTTCAGTGTTCTGTAGTTTTCCAAGTACAGATCTTTTACATCCTTGGTTAAATTTATTACTAGGTACTTTATTTTTCCAATTACTATAGCAAATGGGATATTTTTCCTAGGTTCTCTTTCTAATAGTTCATTGTTGGTGTACAAAAATGCCTTTGATTTCTGAATATAGTGTTGTATCCTGCTACTTAGCCAAATTTACTTATTAGCTTGAGTAGTTTTTTTGTGAAGTCTATAGGATTTTCTATGTACACTATCATGTCATCTGCAAATAATTACTTCTATTTCCTCCTTCCAAATTCGGGTGCCTTTTATTTCTTTTTCTTGTCTGATCATTGTGCCTAGAAATTCCATTATTATGCTGAATAAGAGTGGTATAAGCTGATAGCCTTGTCTTGTTCCTGATCTTATGGGAAAATATTTCAATTTTTCTCCATTGAATATGTTATTGGCAGTAGATTTCTCATATATGATCTTTATTATGTTGAGGTATGCTCCCTCTATTCCCACTTTGCTTAGTGTTTTTATCATAAATGGGTACTGTACCTTATCAAATGCTTTTTCAGCAGCTAGTTATATGATCATGTGGTATTTGTCCTTCATTTTATTTATGTGGTGCATTGTGTTTTATTGATTTGTAAATATTGTATCATCTTTGTATCCTGGGGGTAAATTCCACTTGGTAATGGTGTATGATTTTTATAATGTATTGCTGGATCTGGATTGCCAATATTTTGTTGAGGATTTTAGCATCTATGTTCATCAGTGATACTGGCCTGTAGTTTTTTTTCTTTGTTGCGTCTTTACCTGGTTTGGGGATTAAAATAATACTGGACTTGTAAAAAGTTTGGGAGTCTTTTCTATTCTTGATTATTGTGGAATAGTTTGAGAAGAATAGGAATTACTTCTTTTTTAAATGCTTGTTAAAATCTGCCTGTGAAGCCATCCTGTCCTGGGCTTTTGTGTGCCAGGAGGTTTTGATTACTGCTTTGATTATGCTAGTTGTTATCAGTCTGTTCAGGCTTTTTACTTCTTTTTGGTTCAGTTTTGGAAGATTGTATGTTTATAGGAATTTATCTACTTTACCCAGGTCTTCCAGTTTCTTAGCATGTAATTGTTTATGGTAATTTCTTACAGTCATTTATTTCTGTGGTATTGCTTGTTACTTCTCTTTCCTTTCTGATTTTTATTTATTTGGGTCCTCTCTGTTTTTTTTTTCCTTGATGAATCTGGTTAAAGGTTTGTGAATTTTGGTATCATTATAAAGAACCAGCTCCTGGACTCATTGGTCCTTTGATTTTGTTTTTGTTTGTTTTTTAGTCTGTATGTCAGTTTATTATGCTGTGGTCTTCATTATTTCTTTCCTTCTACTCACTGCGGGCTTTGTTTACTGATGTTTCTTTAGTATGTTTAGATGTAGGCTTAGGATGTTTATTTGATATCTTTCTATCTTCTTCAGGTATGCCTTTCTTGCTCTGAATTTCTCTCTCAGAAATGCCTTTGCTATGTCCCATAGGTTTTTGGTTGGTGTGTATTCATTTGTTTCCAGGCACTTTTTGATTTCTTCCTTGATCTCATTGTTAACCCAGTTATTATTTAATAACATGTTATCCAGTCTCCATGTATTGGAATGTTTTTGAGTTTTTTTCTTGAGGTGATTTCTAGTTTGAAGCCATTGTGGTCCAAGAAGATGCTTGATATGATTTTAATTTTCTTGAATTTATTGATGCTTGTTTTGTGACCTACCATGTGGTCGATCTTTGAAAATGTTCCCTGTACTTTGAAAATAATGTATATTTTGCTTCTCTTGGATGAAATGCTCTGTAAATATTAATTAAGTCCATATTCTCTAAAGTGCATTCAATGTCACAGTATCTTTGTTGATTTTTTTTATTTGGACAATCAAACCATTGTTGACAGTGGGGTGTTAAAATCCCCTATGATGATTGTATTTCTGTCTATCTTTTTAAAGTCCTCCACAATTTTCCTTATGTATTTAGGTGCTCCTATGTTGGGTGCATTTATTATTACAAGGGTTATATCCTCTTATTGAAATACTCCTTTAAGTATTAGGTCATGACTTTCTTTGTCTCTTGTTATGGCCTTTGTTTTGAATTCTATTTTGTCTGATATAAGTATTGCTACTTCAGCTTTTTTTCCCTGTCCATTTGCTTGGAATATTTTTTTCAATCCCTTCACTTTCAGCTTGTGTAGATTCTTTTGTTCTGAGGTTGATCATATTTTCATATCCGTTCAGCTACCCTACATCTTTTGATCGAAGCACTTAGTTCATTTACACTTAAGGTTATTATTGATATGTATTTATTCATTGCCATTTTTTCTTTTGTGCCTGTGTTCCTTTCTCTCTCCTTCTTCATCTTTTTAAAAGCAGTCTCTTTAGCATGTCTTGCAATGCTGGTGGGGATGTACTCTTTCAGGTTTTAATTTTTGGGTGGGGAGGAAGGGGGGAAGCTCTTCATTTCACCCTCTCTTTTAAATGAGAACCTTGCTTGGTAGAGTAGTCTTGGCTGCAGGTCCTTGCTTTTCATTCATTGTAATATTTTGTGCCATTCCTTTCTTGCTTGTAGTCTTTCTGTTGAGAAATCAACAGATAGCTTATGGGGGCTCCCTTGCATGTTACTAGTTCTTTCTCCCTTGCTGCCTTTAATATTGTCATTAAATTTTGCCATTTTAATTATGATGTGTCTTGAAGTGAGTCTCTTTGGGTTCATCTTTTTAGGACACTCTTTGCTTTTCGAACTTGTGTGATTTTTTTTCCTTCTCCAAATTAAGGAAATTTTCTGTCATTATTTTTTCAAACAGGTAGTCTATACCTTGCTCCTTTTCTTCTCCCTTTGGAACCCCTTTGATGCTAATATTGTTACATTTCATGTTGTCTTGCAGCTCCTTTAAACTATCTTTGTTCTTTTGGGGTCTTTTTTCTTTTTGTTGTTCTGGTTATTTTTACAAACTTATCTTCCATCTCACTGATTCAATAGTCTGTTTCATCTAGTCTGCTTTTAATCCCTTCTAGTGTATTCTTCATTTCCAATATTGTATTCTGCATTTCCTCCTGGTTCGTATTCATAGTTTCAATGTCCTTTTTCATGCTGATGTACTTCCCAGTAACTTCTTTGTAGTTCTCACTAAGTTCCTTTAGCATCCTTATAACCATTATTTTGAACACTATGTCTGATAAATTGCTTGCATCACTTTTATTTAGCACTTTTTCTAAGGATTCTTCCTTCCTTTTTGATTTGTGGTTTCTTCCTTCCTTTTTGATTTGTGGTCGTTTCTTTGTCTCCTTATTGTATGTTACTCTTTTTGTTTGTTTCTGCATATTTGATTGATCTGCTTTGACTTCCTGTCTTCATGGGTGGCCTTCTGTGGTAGGAGTCCTGTGGGGCTCAGTGGTGCAGCCTCCTTGAACTCCTGAGCTGCATACTCTAGGGATGCCCTTTGTTTAGCATATGTGTGCTCTCTTGTTGTAAGTGAGTTTTGGTTGTTATTGGCTCCTTCATTCATGGGTTTTCCCCTCTGGCTGGCTGACTGAGAGTCACAATCCACACCACATCTTACCTGCTATTATACAGGAGCTTCTAAGAACAAAATAAAACAATGCAGCAAACAATACCCACATCAGCAAAATTTCCGCCTACCATTACCATAATATTAAGAACCAATGAGCTAAGATTAATAAAGGTAGAAAGAGAATAAAAATATTATATGAAAGGAAAAAAATATCAGGTGACTAATAGAAATGAAACTGATTTTGAGTGGGTAGGGGGGAGAGAAATAATAAGAGTAGGGAGCAGAAACAAGGTAATGGAAAGGGGAAATTTCCATTGTAATTTGCATTGTAAATAAAATAGAAAGAGAATAGGGCAAACTGGAGTAAGAAAAGAAAAAGTACTATATGAGGTATGAAAAAAATAGTGAGAAAATGGGAACCAAATTTTAAAAAAACAACCACTGCAGCAATATCCATGACAAAGGAGCAAAGATTAATACCAGTGTAAAGAGAATAATAATCATATAAGAAAGAAAAATGAAACGAGAGAAAAAGAGGTTCTGAGATGTCTAAAGGAAAGAAAACTGATTTTGAAGGGATAGAGGGAGCAGAAATAATAAGCATAAGGTTTAGAAACTAGGGTAAGAAAGGAAGAATATAAAATATAGAATGAAAATAAGATAGGGCAGAAGGAAGGTGAAATAGAGTAGGTCAGGGGAACAATACACATGGAACTTAGAATAAAAAATAAGCAGTGAACAAATACTGATAAAATTGGAGAAATATAACAACAACTCCAGTATCAATGACAAATAAGCAAATATTAATAAAGGTGGAATGACAATAAAGTTATTATAAGAAAGGGAGAAAGAGTGTGAAATGACTAATGGAAAGAAAGATGGTTTTGAGGGGATGGAGGGAGAAGAAATAGAGTGAGGAATAGAAACAAGGTGTAGACAGGGAAAAATAAAATTTAAAACAAAAATAAGAAAGAGAAGGATGAAGGCAAAATTGAGTATGAAAATGGAAGAGTAAAATATAAGATTGGAATTAAAACTAAAATAAAAATAAAAAATAATAATAAAAACAAAAATATATGTAAATCAACTAAACAATAAAAAATAGTGAAGTAATAAAAACAAAATTGAAGACAAAGAAACAATGTTACCAAGCTATGCTGGGGAGAAAATAGTGGAAATGACGAGAAAGAGGGAGGTGAATTCCTCTCAGCAGAGTCCTGTCTGTTGGCCACTGTCTTCTCTTTCAGAATCCACCCCCGATGTCGGTGGGTGTCCCAGTCTAGCTTCAGGCAGCCTTTTCAAGGCTAAAAAGCAGAAAATGCTTCACAAATTTTCGTGTCATCTTTGAGCAGAAGCCATGCCTATCTTCTCTGTATCGTTCCAATTTTAGGGTATGTGCTGCTGGAGTGAGCACTAGAAACAAAAGTTAAAAAAATATTTCCTTTTATGTCTGTATACAACTACTGATTAAGCATGTAAATAAAACCTATATTGCTCCATCTATGATTAGAACTACAGACTTTAACTATATCATTAATTTTTAGCACCCTAATAATAATTTTAAAGGAAATGCCTGTATCTAATTTTATGTTTCATAAGTGCATTGTTTTTTTATTACTAGCCTTTTAGCCCCTGATCAGTGCATGAAATGACAATGTCCAAATCACTCCTGAGGGCTACTAATAATGAATGTTAATTTTTTGCCATTCAGTTCTTACTGCAAATGCAGTTCTCACTGTTTAAAATATACATAACTGTATTTTATTCTCCTTGCTGTTTTCTCAGGAGACATCATTTCAACTATGATTGAAAGTCAAAGTATTTTGTATTTGTCTTATATTGAAAAGTGATATTCCTAAAAATAATACATATAGATTAACTTTATTAGACAATGGAAATGTGTTACTGTTATACTTGTTACAGATTAATATCTCTTTAGAGCAAACAAATGTATTCATTTAACTCAGATATTATCAGTTCCTAGGTTGCCTATTGATCTTGAGGAAAGAATATTTTTTCAGGTTTCTCTTTGGGGTACATTTGCTTTTATTTTTCACTTAGAGAAAGCTTTCCTTATGGCCAAGTCCCATTGCTACAGAAATGAAATGATAGATTTATGGCTTACCAACTAGAAAAGAATAAACTGTGCTTGCTAGGGAAGGGGAGCATTTTCAAAAATCCAAGAAATAAAGAAGGAAGTCAGTGACTGACTGAAATTTGGCAGTCAGAAGCTCAAGGTGCAGACATGTGTGTTTTGTAGGGCTTCTCAGCATCTTTCCTCTTTTCTTTTACTAAAAGCAGCCAAAATTTAGTTTACGAAATTGACACCACTGTATCATTTTATGAGCTATATGGTCTTGGTAAGGCTTTAAATCAAGCTAAAACATGAACACTTAACACACACTGATGAATCAGACTCCGTGTTAAATGTTTCCATCCATTAACTATTAAGAGGATAACCTCAAGAAAAGATTTTTTAAAGTAATCTATAATCTGGATGCTGTGAGCAGTAGAAGCAGTGCCACAGACTGAATACTGTGTGCTCCTAAATTCATATATTGAAACCTGGTGCCCGGTGTGACAGTATTAAGAAGTGGGGCCTTGGGGAGATGACTAGGGCACGAGGATGGAGGCTTCATGAGTAGGATTAGTGCCCCTTATACAAGAGACTCCTCACAGATCCTTTTGCCTTCTGCTACGATAGGACACAGGAGACAAGCCCTCACCAGACACTGCATCCGCTGACATCCTGATCTTGCACTTCCCAGCCTCCAGGTCTGTGAGAAATAACTGTTTGTTGTTAAGCCACCAAATCCAAGGTATTTTTGTTGTTGTTCTACTAGTCTGAACAGACTAAAATAGGTGGATTAGTTATAATTTTGTAATTCACTACCTACCTGGTCAGAGTTGTATGAGTAAAAGTGTAGTACAATATGAACTTAATTTTGTCTCTTGTCAAGGGTGGGAAGTTTTTTTTTCAATTGCCAGTAAATGGGGTCTCAAATTAAAAGGTGAAAGCTTGGGAGCACCTCTGGCAATGGGCCACCAGGGTTAGGTACATGGTCCTGGGCCCATTCTGTCACCCACACTCTCTACATATGTGAGTGTAGCAATGCTCCGCTGTTAGGGGACAGAGCAGGGGACATATGGAGAAAGATGGAGCTAGGGGACAGAGCAGGGGACATATGGAGAAAGATGGAGCTAGACTGGAGGGAGAGTATGATCAAGGAGCTGTTTTAAAACTGTCCGTGGAACGTGGTAAGGAGCAATGCAGGAACAAACGGAAGCTTTCAGAAACGATTGGTGCTTTTAGTCAAAACCTACAGATCTTTGATTCTAAAGTTCCCTAATACTTTGGGTATTTACATACCAAGAAGGCCAAGATTTTTTTCCCATTACATATGACCTTTTGGTAAAAATTAATTTAATTTTTTAAATAATTAAAAATCACCTCTGACTCTAGAAGCTTACCTTACTGGAACTTTATAATTTATTTTTGAGAAAGATGGAAATCATTAATACCGAGTATTATGATAGTTGACTACTCTACAACACAAAATTTCATAGGTAGCCAAAGTAACCTAAACAATAAGAAAATAGAAATAAAACCCAGAAATTCTTAATCTCAATGAGGTATAGAACTTCCAATAATATTCTGCCTGTGGATGATCAACTGTAGTTCCTCAGAGTACTTCTTGAACATTTAAAATGAAATTAAAAATCAGTCACATTGTCTTACAGAGAAAACTGGAAAAGACCCTGTAATTTGGGGCATCAACAAGTTTTTCACTGGCAGTAAGACTTGACCATTTCTTCTTTCCAAAAACAGAGGGCAACAGACCATGCCTCCAAGAGAAACAACTGTCCCTAAGAAGTAGCACAACTCCATCCTAGAAACGTCAACCCGGTATAAATTACTAAGTGGAAGACTTACAACTGTGTGTTTGTTTTTCAGTTCCACATCGTCCCTTACATCAGTGTTCTTTAGAATTCACCACAATTCGTGGTTTGTTGCAAATGGCATGGATAGCCACACTGCCAGTGTGATTTCCCCATTCCTGAGTTACGCATCCTCTGCTGCTAATAGGTTTTACGCATTGTTTCAATTTGGGCTTTCAGACTTTCCAACATTCTCAGGAAAAAGAGGAAAACCAATAGTTATACTTGTAATTCTCTTTTTTGTGCTTTTCCATTAAGTTGTCACTCCTTGAGTTCCCCATGCTTCCGTATGTTACACAGTTCCACCATATTTTGTGTACTTCAGATCTTAGACTCCAGAATGGTTCCTTTCTGATCCAACTGAGATGTACCCCATGCTGTACTTCCTCCTCTCAAGACACTTTTGCATCTTACAGTACTAACTTTCCATCTGTCAAACGACCCTTTATGATTTTTTTATTTAACAAAGATAGCATGCTCCATTGTTCTGAATATTTTATTTAATATATGTCTAATTTCCACATATATTAAAAATCATGCATATCTCATCAAAATCAATTTTGGCATATAATGTATTTTGGGGGGAAACAAAAGCATGAAACCTGAATAGGTTGGTTGTCTATTAAAGGTGTTAGGCCAGTAAGAAATAAACCCACTGACGAACACAGAGTTCTGTCCACTACACTTTGATTCATTGACCACCATTGTGGCTTTGAAGTAAATTCAGTATGTTTCTACAAAGTAAACTTTATTATTCTCTCTTAAAACTTTAATCTAATGTTCAAAAATTACATATAGCTGTAACTAGCAAGGAGAAATATCCAACACCCTTAAGAAAATATGTAAGTTAAGTGAAAATGAAAAAAATGAATTAAAATATGAAAAATGTATTGCGAAATAATTTCCATTGTTATTTAGACTGCTAGATGCCAGACTGCTAGGTTTCTGTGGGTTCCCCCCTTAAAAGATGTTAGAGAGAATGATTTGTAGTGAAGCTCCCTATTCATTAGTTGTCATTCTAGCCACAGCAATGGAGAAGCGCTCCTTACCTTACTAAGGGCAGTGTGAATACTTTAGGTCTGAGCTCCACTTCTTTGCCATTCGCTAACTTTTCACTTTAGTCCTATTATTTAACTTTCCCATTACCTATTTCTTCAAGGAAAGAATTGGAGGATTTGCTATTCTACTTTTAAATTTCTCGATGACATGACTTTGCCACATTTATTTTTCTATTTCTTCTTCCTTCTTCCTAATTCTTTTCACATCTCCAGTTTCTTTCCAACCTATAAAATAACTTAGTTATTATTCTTCAAACTTTTACAATTTTATGATTTTAAATTAAAAAGAGCACATCATTGAGTGTATCCTCATGTGTAGAGGAAACCCACTTTCAACAGGTGTGCTAGTGATCACTGCATAGTTCATAAGGAGTAAATAATAGGTGCTGGTCATCTAATTCACCTGCTTATTTTACATATTTAGAGAGTGAGGCTCAGATTGATAAACTAACCAATGAAAGTTTTCATCTAATTGGTAGAGCACAGAGAATAGATTCCCTGGCTCACTATATACATTTCTTACATTTTTTGCTGCACATTTTCTCTTCTTTTAAAAATTTCCTTCAATTTGTTAAGGTTGCTATGTGTGGGGTTTTTTTTGCTGGTTTTAAAGATGTATTCTACTTTCAGACTAATGGTCAATTCATTATGAACTATGACCCTAAGTCATTTTCCTACCAGATTTATGAATTCAGCTCCACCACTGCCTTTATTGAACTACAATCTGTAGCTGATGATTTAATTATTTAGTATGATTTCTTCCCATTGTTTTTTACCTTAATTATTCTGAGACCCAGTTTCCTCACCTGCAAAATAAGCAACTTTGGGTAGATATCTCCTGAGGCACTTTTTACCTCCCAAAAATCATTTTCCAAATTGTCCCTAAATTAGTATCTGGCCCCTTAATACCACTTTCAAATTTGAAGAATATGTCTTGTATCTTATCACCCAGACATTTGATGACAGGCTACACTAGTCCCAGGCTCCGGATCAGCCCCTTCAGGAGGTCATTGGTCAAATTCTCCTGACTCAACACCAATGCATAGATCACATCCTATTTCCCACTTATTTTTTCTGTAAGGGTTTTCAGTTTGGGGAATGTTTGTGGATATTTTACAAAACTTCTGGGATGGTTTTATTTTATTTGGGGATTTTTACTTTTAAAAATCTTGCTTCTTCAAACTGAACCTCTTCAAAGTCATTTTACATATTATTTTCCAAAACTTTAAAAAGATGAAAATGTTAAATCAGTTTAATTCAGGTTAATATTTGATTAATTCTAGGAATACCAAATGTATCTAGCATTTAAGACTGAAACACAAATGGACTATAATTATTGTCAGATATTTACAAAGCTTCATTTAGCTTTATTTTGCTTCCTAGGGACCTTAGTGAAATTAACCAAATGAGATGTTTA